CCCCAAAACCCCAAAACCCCAAAACCCCAAGTATAATAACATTTTGAGATCTGGCATAATTAATATCAAATTTGCATAATATAAATTGATCAAAATTAATTTATATGAGACGTTCTTTTCAGCCTCCATAAAATATTAAGGGCTATTAATACAGCAATAATCTTGGAGAAGGTGCAAACGGAATTGTGTGCAAATATATCAAAGATGGAAAGTCTTTCACTTTTAAGATGTAAAAATCAAGTGGATCTTGTGTTTCTCTCACAAATGAATCAGTATTTCTTCGTAAAATGCAAGAATATAATAAATAAGCAAAGTAAGGAGAGTAATTTGGTCAATTTCCTAGACTACCATAATGGTATGGTGATGGCCAATTTAAGATTGAAAATAAATTAGAGAAAGGTGAATTTCAATCTGCAATAACAGTATCTTACATAATTTTAGAATATTTCGAGTAAACTTTAGATGAATACTATAAATTAAAAGTTAATCTACTTGGCATTGAAGGCTAGATATAGATGTTGGAAGAAGTTGTACATTTAATATAAAATCTTCACGCATATAATTATGTTCATTGCGACATTAAGCCAGACAATTTTATGGTAAAAAAAGATGAAAAAAATGAAAATCATATATACCTGATAGATTTCGGACCAACACATCAATTTAAATAAGAGTAATTTGATGATAAGTAAAAGATTATGCTTAAAGGTACTCCTCTCACAGCATCTATACATACGATTCAAGGCTTATACTCTAGTCAAGGGGATGACTTAATTTCTGCTCTCTATTCATTACTAATTTTAAGTCTTGGATAGAAAATTCCTTGGCATGACCTTTGTATATAATTTGATTAAGCTGATAGAAAACACAAATTTTATGATTTGATCTATAATGAAAAAGTGAAGTTACAGCCTGATCCAAAAATATATGGAAAGTTCGAAAATGCTTTGATTAGTCAAATTAAAAATCTCGAAAATTTAAGATTAGAGGAACCTCTAAAGTATACAACATAGATTGACTATGATTAGATAATTAATGAAGTGAAGCTAGAATGAAGCAAGTAAATGTTATAAGAATAAAATGATGTTGAGTCAAATTCAGTAGAAGTTATTTCCTCCAAGCAATCTACAGATTAATCATTATCATCATAAAACGATTTATTAGAATATAATGATAACGAGTACTAAAATTCTCAGTCAAAAATATCTGAGATGATTGATAATAATCAGTAGTTTTAATTTAATGAAACATGCCATTAAGCCTAAAATTAAGATCATTAATGGAATTTGAAAAGAAATTATGAAGAATAAAAGGAAGTTTAGTATAATTATTAAAACTCTGGATTGCCTTTTAATGACTTGAAATTGTAGCTGTATAAAAATGATCGATAGGATTATGATTAAATAGAATTTCAAGATTACTCATAGTTATAGCTTCAAACATTAAGAAGGAATAATGAAGATGATCGCTATTTGATAAGATTTCTAAATGTGCTCTGTGTATGCAATATATATTTTTTTAGTTTTCTTTGTACATGATACTTATTGATTTTTATAAGGTGCAATCAAATATTAAATGATTCTTCATTTTAAAACATAATCTCCTTATTTTAAGTGTCATTACATTGGGGTTTTGGGGTTTTGGGGTTTTGGGG